AGGAGCAAACAATCCTTGTAATGAATTGGGATCCTAACTGCTGCCCCAGACTGGGGTTGGGTTGACAACACCCCATGCAGAGCAGTTTTTTCCTAGCTCAGTGGGTTTTCGGAACTGAATATGTGGTGGTCAGGCTAAGTACTATAGTTCTGGGACACATGCACACTGACCTAATCAACCCATGGGATTCTAGTGGATCAGGTTCCATGAAAGTCTGATCTCCTCACCAAATATTACCAAGAACCTCTAGAACTAAAATCTGGATCTTAATAGATGCGATTTGTTCACCTTTATCAACAGGGACATCTGTACCAGGCTCACACAAACCCATGGATGAAAGGGTTCCTTCTAGACTTGATGAGACCTGAGCTGCAGGGGAAGCTCCTGAGAAGTTGCCGGGCCTGTTCCCTGATCTATAGAGTCACAGGAAACAACTCCTTTGGGTTTCTGTAGTGTTTGGGAAAACTACCCAAGAGGAGTCCCTTTGCATGTGGCAAGGTCCAAGGATGCCTGCTAGCATCAGAAGAGGAAGCATCTACCTCGGCAGAAAAGGCACATGATAGAAATGTCACTCCACAAAATGCATCATAAGATGATGTTCCTAGGCCACTGTTTTGTTGCCTCCCTGGACCACCAATGGCCCAAGATACAATGATAAAAACAACAATAAAAAACAAAGGTATGTGCCAGGCACTGTGTCAAGCTCTTTGCAAATATCAACTCAATGAATCATCACAATACTTCTTTGAAGTAGGTACACACTTTAAGTGTCAAGAAGAGTCTTGGAGAGTCACATAACAAACCAAATACAATAGCCAAAATTTGAACCTAGGTCTGCTTGGCTGAAAAATCTGAACTATTTCCTACTTTACTACACTCAGGGCACTGTCCTGTCTATGAGAGCCCTATGCTTTACTTCTATTGTTGAGTGAGGTGGGAAAGAGAGGAAGGCAGAATTAAAAATTTTTTTAATATCTTCTGTGCACACATATATGTGCAAAAACAGGTGCCACATATATAGAACACTCTGGAGTACTTTGGAATGAGCCATCTCATTTCATTCTCAAAATAACCCTGTGGAGATGAATTATTACGTGAATACTCCCATTGTTCAAGTGAGATAAGCAGGCCTCAAAGAAACTAAGTAATTTGGTCAAGATCTACTTGGTTGCTTTAATAAATGTAGCTTGTTGCCAAATCCATGGCTCTTCCATCTTCACATATTGCCACAATTGTGAGACATACTCAGAGTCAGCTAACATTTATTCAACACCCACCATGGGTCAAGCACTGTGCTGGGCTCATTCATAAACAATATATAATTACTCATTGATTGGTCTTCCAGACCACTCACTAAACTGTCATGATCCGGCTTTCAAATTTAATAAAGTTTATATAAAATAATAAACAAGGGGCAGGTGTGTGATGCAGGGAGTTATGCTGCTCTTGGGACATCCACATCTCATCCTGGAGTGCAAATTTGCTTCCTGTTCAGATTTCTGCTATTGCACCTGGGAGGAAGTATATTAGTACTTGGGTTCTTGCCACCCACATGTGAGATCTAGATGGAGTTCCTAGCCTGGCTCAACCCTGGCTATTGTGGGCATTTGGGGAGTGAGCCAGCAGATGAAAAATATTTCTCCCTCTCTCTCTGTCACTCCACATTTAAAATTAATAAATAAATCTTTAAAAAAGAATAAAAAGAGTAATGCCTTTTCCTCTTTTTAAATGTATTCTCAGTAGCTTAGATGAAGCTCAATACTTCACAAAAGGGTGTTGCCATCACCCAAAGGACCAGAGAAAGGAGAGAAAGTTAGATTAAGGCTAAAAAACACAACTCTAGAAGTCTCTTAACCAATTATGAAGGGCCAATAGTATTTTCTAGGCTGAATACACTTTAAAAAATGTATTTATTTATTTCAGAGGTGGTCACACAGAGGTGATAAACAGAAAGATAGATATAGAACTTTTCTTCATGGGTTCACTCTCCAAATTCTTGCAACACCTGAGGCTAGGCCAAACCAAAGCCATAAGTCATGAACTCAATCCAGGTCTCCCACATGGGTAGCAGAGAACCAACTACTTGAGCCGTTATCTGCTGCTTCCCGAGGAGTACATTAGCAGAAAGCTGGAATCAGGAGTGGAGTTGGGACTAGAACCCAGCTACTCTAATTTGGGATATGGGAATCATAGGGCCAAATACTTGTGGGTTCATTTTTAATGCTATCTCATTCCCACTGTAGTCCACCTCGCCCTGTAGGTTTGCTCTTTAAGGGGTAAGGAGTAGGAAGGCAGTTTTGGGGTCCATTAGGAATGTCCCACTGTCTTTCTCTTGGTCCTTTGAACCTCAAACACTGCTTTTCCCACATCAATACCAGTTGAATTCCTGTCAAAGTGATTTCTGAAAATCTGTCATCCTAGGATAGGAGATCTCTGGGTACACTTCAGAGCCATGGTGAGATAAATAATAGTAAGCACCATGATCACAATTCCTCATATGGCAAGGGAAGATTATTTTATTGATTTTAAAGAGATTTTTTATTTATTTTTATTATTTTTTTATTTGACAGAGTTATAGACAGAGAGAGAGACAGAGAGAAAGGTCTTCCTTCCATTGGTTCACCCCCAAATGGCTGCTATGGCTGGCGCTGCACCAATCCGAAGCCAGGAGTCAGGTGCTTCCTCCCGGTCTCCCAGGCGGGTGCAGGGCCCTAGCACTTGGGCCATCCTCCACTGCCTTCCTGGGCCACAGCAGAGAGCTGGACTGGAAGAGGAGCAACCAGGACTAGAACCCAGCACCTATATAAGATGCCGGTGCCTCAGGTGGAGGATTAACCAAGTGAGACATGGTGCCGGCCCCTATTTTATTGATTTTAGATGGCAAGACCTAAGTACAGATCAGGCAGGGACCAGGCTTGAAAGTGAGGGCTGGAGGTTGGAGTGGATGCTTCATTTCCAAGGCCAGGGCTTTAACACAAGGCTGTCATGGACCTTGAGGAGATTAGTGGATGAATTCTCTCTTCAAAGCTATGAAACTGTCACCAGAGAGTAGTGAACTTTTTACAGATTGCGACTTGGTTAGAGGAGAAGCAAGCCCCAGTGGGTCAAAAATGGAGGCTGCTGGAGATTTTTGCTGCAGATGGGATTATTCACTTGAAGATGAGCAACAGGGTTCTCAGCCTAGGATCTGGCTACATCTCAGCTCTGCCTGCCCAGGCTGGCTTCATCTGCATGTGATCTGTATAGTCATCACATAGGGCTCTGTGTTTGGGGAGGCTCTGTGCACAGACTAAGATTTTACTGTCATGATCTTGAAATTCTTTTTTTTTTTTTTTTTTTTTGACAGGCAGAGTGGACAGTGAGAGAGAGAGAGCGAAAGGTCTTCCTTTGCCATTGGTTCACCCCCCAATGGCCGCCGCGGCCGGCGCACCACGCTGATCCGAAGGCAGGAGCCAGGTACTTATCCTGGTTTCCCATGGGGTGCAGGGCCCAAGCGCTTGGGCCATCCTCCACTGCCTTCCCTGGCCACAGCAGAGAGCTGGCCTGGAAGAGGGGCAACCGGGACAGAATCCGGCGCCCCGACCGGGACTAGAACCCGGTGTGCCGGCGCCGCAAGGCAGAGGATTAGCCTAGTGAGCCGCGGCGCCGGCCTTTGAAATTCTTAATAATTTTATCTTTGGGGTAGGTGTTTGACCTAGCAGTTGAGACACTACTTGGGATGCCTGTATCCACATCAGAGTGCCTGCATTCCAGTCCCAGCTCTGCTCCCAAATCTGCTCCTGATTCCACCTTCCTGCTAATGCACACCCTGGGAGGCAGCAGGTGATGGCTCAAGTAGTTGGGTCCCTGTTACTCATATGAGAAACAAGATGGAGTTTGGCCTGGCTGGGCCTCAGCAGCCAGGGCATTTGGGAAGTTCACCAGTAGAAGGGAAATCTTTCTCCATCTTTCTCTCTGTCTCAACCTCTGAAGTAAAGAAAATTTTGGAAAACTAATGTTGTCTTTGAATTTGTGTTTTGTAAGTGAAGTTTGTGGGACAATGGAAAACGTAAGTGAGAAGACAACATGTGCAGCCACCATTCTTTGCTGTCATATAGTGTAGGCAGTGCCCCAAGTATACAGAATTCCAGTGGCACCTCAGTGAAACTCAAAGCAAGAAAAATGTTAACTAGATAAGCCTGAGTAAAAGGGGACACCAATGGTACCAAGAGGTCATGTTTTCTGTTTGAAACCACTCTTCGCATGGACAGAGAAGACAGTGGGTGTCTAAGTGATGACCAAGGAATACTAGCATACCCTTTCTCACTCATGTTCCTTCCCTGTGTTGATCAGCTACTTACAAACTGCTGAAGAGGAGACAGAAGGAAAGGGGAAGACGGAACAACCACACTTCCTCTTCCTTTCATCTATCCCTGCTTGACAGCTAACGGAAGGCTGAGAACGCCAGCAGAACGCGCTTGGCACAGCTGAGTTCATTTTGCTCCTTGTTCCCATTGCTCTGGTAAGAATGAAACACCTATGACCTGGGAAACATGACCTGTGCCATTTTGGTGAATCTGCAGACGCGTTAAATGCACCTGCATTTGCATTACAAGTTGGCATCACGCAAGCTAAAGATGAGTGGTAAAATTCATGCTAATAATTAAAAACTTTAATTTTTATTCAGCACGATATTTTACAGCAAATAAAAAATAACACCATGACAAGTCTAAGGACAGACTGTAGGGAAAAAGGCAGAAGCTTCTAGTTTAGTACGTTTAATGGCATTTTCTTCCTATTTTTTGAACAAGGATCCCTACATTTTCTTTTTGGACTGGACCCCAGAGATTAGGTAGCCAGCCCTGCTCCTTCTCTCATCTTTGTTTTGAGGAATAGAGGGGGAGCACCAGGGTTCATCCGTGGTGATGAAGAGCAAAGCTGGACTTCATTTTCCTGGAAACCAAGCAGAGTAGACTTCTGTATGCAGTAACCTTCTCCAGCGCCGCGTGAAGGGGCAGCTGACACTCCTGAATGAGTATGAGGAAACCCAAGGCAAATTCAGGTTCACCACATACACTCAGGGACATCAGATCCACCCCTAAACCAGATGTGGCTGCTCGCGACTGGTATCTTCGAACTTGACGGAAGAGGTAGAAGGTCCGTTCCCTTGGGTGTTGCCTGTGAGCTCAGGTATGAAAAGAATCCCAGGGCACACACACGCGCCTAAGTGACGGTCTTTGTACACATATGTGCGTGTGTAGTGCACATACATGCCTGCATGTGGCTGTGCTTAAGCACCTGGTGGAACCTGAGGGAGACCATCTTTACATGGACTTCTGGGCGGGACTGGCTGATGGACATAGGACACCTTCACTGTCAAAAGGGGGTAAGAGTTATGCTTCAGTCTGGTATCTTTCTGGAACCTAAACCTCAGGAGACCTCAGCTGAGAATAGTGCGAGATATAGATGGAGGACACATGGCTGTATTTACATTACCAGATTTTCCTTGTAACCACTTCCCTCTCCCTTCTTATCAAAGGGACAAATACTTGTTGACTTGAATAAGGAAAAGAAATAATTTCCTTCAGAGAAGAGCAACGTTAAGTGACCCTAATGTCTCCCAGGCTATAAAGGACCATCTTCCTTCATCCACTGGCAGCTCCCCGCCCTACGGCTTTAAGTGAAATAGACTTAGGTATCAGGCACACCAGCAGGTGCGTGAGGATGGAGTCCCCAGCCAGTCTTGCTTCTTAACTAGTTTCAGTCTGTGTCCCCCAATTGCAACTCCCATTTCCATATCCATTCTGTAGCCTTTTAGTTGTTCTTGGTCCAGGGGTGAATGATGACAATGGCATTCTGATTCTTCCAAGCATCCTCCCTAAATCTCCCACTTTGGCTGAAAGAAATTCCCTTTCCTGTTAATTGGGTGACCCAGCCAGCCCTCCAGGAAGGAAATGCCACTAATTCACGCATTCAGCATCGTGTCCCCACCTAGGTGGTCGTCTCTACTGCCAGCCCTCGCCAAGAAACTCTTGCCTTTTACCTTTCCCATATTTCCAGGTTCATGTTTTAAGTATTCACATGGTATCCCCACATCTCTATTTAAAGACCATGAAGGGTACACCCCTCCCCTCTTCCAAAGAGATTTGTTTTCTACCTCCCAGGAGTGGCTGTTCTTCAGAGTGGAGGTGATTCAGCTTCCTAGAAGATCATTTGCAGGGGAAAAAACACAGTACTATAGCTGCGAGGGCTGCCTGCCTCCCTAGATGTAAAAAAAAAAAAAAAAAAAATCCTGCTCTCAGATACATGGAATTCCCATTGACAAGGTTTGGCCAACACCAGACGCTGAATTTTTCCTATTAAACAGAAACCTTGGGAAGCAAGATGCAGGGGCTGCAGAAGGGATAAGGGTAGCTTTCCAGCCCTCTGGAGGATTTGAACTCTGGCCCACAAGGTCAAACGGCTGATGCTCAAAAGCCCCCTCCTCTGAACCTCCCCCTCTCTTCCCGAGCTGTTTCCCAACAAAGAATGACTCACAATAAAGCCCCGGTGGATTTATCCAGATTAGAAAAACCCCTGAAGTCCCTGTCAAAACTAATCTTCTCAGCAGAGACACTTGTTGATAACCACATTGCTCTGTGCAGTGGGGCTGATGGAAAAGCCGGCCTCTGACCTCTCCATTTCCATAGCACCAGGCACCACCCAATCCCTGACCTCATAGAATGCACCCACACACACACACACACACACACACACACGTGCACTCTGCAAGTCCCTGCCTCCATTCAGCTTCTCTGCCCTGGGCTCAGCACCAGCTCCCCAAGCTGGGAGGCCAACCTCACAGCCTCCCAGGCTCTGAGAAAAACCCTGGCTGGATTCCAGGCTTTCCCTCCTCCTCAGATGCCCCCTGGTGATTTAACCATTGGCCCTGTAGGGTCCAGCTCCTCTGGTCTTCCTGCTGCAAAGTTTGCTAGGCGCCTTTTCAAGCAGTTTTCCTCTACACAACTGGCCCTAAGAAATCATGCATAAAGATTTCCCTCTACAGGTGGTTGTGAGCTGTAGCAGCATTTGCTCTTGCAATGGAAATGTTTTTATTTTTTAATTGTATTTCCCCACTAATGCCGTTTTAAACAAAAATTATTTTGCACACAGCACTAAAGACTTAGCATTTTCTCCAAATAGTGGGAAGGGAGAAGATTAGATAATCTATTCAAGAAATGTTACCACTGCCATCATCACTTCCATGCCCTGACTCTCTTGATCTCCCCTATATTTCCCCTGACTTTGCTCTGACTTTCTGAAGCCTCTTTGGAACTAAATTTCCATGTGCAAAAACAATGACAGGAATGAAGACATTTAGAGAATAAGAATCAACCCAAAATCAGGCAAAGTGGAGGAAGCACTTGCCCACTGCAGAATTCCCCTCCATCCTCCCACCCCCACACCAGAAAACCTTAGGGTAGGGAGAGGCAAGACAGAATCCTCTCCCTAGTTTAACACCATAGGATTGTCTCCCAACTTGCATGCTTCCTGCAAAAACCACACACACAAGACCCCCAAACAGCCTGCCCAAGAAGTCTAGGCAATTTGTACAGATGTAATTGTTCAATGAAAAAAGACAATAATCATGGCCAGTCACACAGATCCACTCCTCCAAACATTCACCAACTGACATCATAAACTTTGCAAAAGCCAGACACAGACAGTGCATGGTATAACCTACCTTGGCGAGCTCCTTCACTTTTTGTGCAAATGTTTTCCCCTCCGCATGCTTTACATAGATTTCTAGGGAAATTTGGAAGGACTGGTGAGGGGGTGGGAGAGGTGAGGGAAGGAGGGTAATATAAATAAGGAAGCATTTTCAATGCACCACGCAAAAAGCTCGGGATTTCACGTTGTGTGTCTGCACTCTTCCCGGAGCAAAGCAAAACAGTTCGTGTTCAGTGCCAGACTTGGAGGGAGAGGGAGAGGGAGGGGGAAAGAGGGAGGGGGAGAGCGGGAGGGGAGAGAGGGAGGGAGCGGAAAAGAAAGAGGGTGGGGGTATGCTGAAGGAGGGAGGGAGACGAGAGCAAGAGAAATAGAGAAGAGAAGGGAGATGGGGAGGAGAGAGAGAGAGAGAGAGAGAGGAAAGGAGGGGGAGAGGCAGAGGGAAGGAGGAGAGAGAGGAGGCAGCCCCCCTCCCACACTCCCACCCCCACACATTCAGGCACCTCCTGAGTAACTGATCAGAGCAAAGAACTCATCACCCACATTTCAAAAGCACTGTTTGGGGACTAAGTCCCCGTGCACACACTCCCAGGTCTATTTATAGAGAAACCCTAACGATATGCATTGCATTCTGAACGTAATGTGTGTGCCTGCGGATTACATACGGTTCCTTTGACAGGTATGATTTTTTTTTGCACTGCAGTGCGTCTGATTATATCTGTTTTGATTTTCTTCTTCTTCTTCTTCTTCTTCTTCTTTTTTTTTTTTTTTGCATCAGGAAAACATGCATCAATTTCGAAGGTGTTCCGGGAAAAATGGTGGGGGTCTCAGTGCTTACAAAACCCTGGCTTTTTTTCCCCCTGCAAAGCTGGGATATTTGCAGAGTTAGGGCTGTTTGAAAAGGCTCCAGCTCTGGCTCGGTGTAGCACGCCCAGTTCCAGCAGTGTGTGCTATTGACCTGCATTGACGTCAGTGCGTCATTAGGTCTCCCTTAGAAACACTGACTTTCAAAAATAGTATCAAATTAATTCAGTTGGAGCCTGGTGAAGAAAGGCTACTAGCTGGAATCAGCCATAAAACTCCAGAATTTTCAGCTCTAGATCTCGTCTTTTTCTAGGATCCAAATAGAAATCAGATTGTATGGAAAATGTCATTGATGGGATTTTTTTTTCTTAAGAAAAGGGACCAAATTAGATTGCAAAACCCAGAACTGCCTCTTTTTCCCCCCCTTTCCCTTCTTTTTTCTGATCTAAAAATAACCCCCTGCTTGAGCTGACTGCGGTATCTTTTGTGTTGCAGCTCTGTTTTTAGCAGTCTGCTTCCAGTGAAGGGAGGAACCCAAGTACAGATATTGATCTATTGATATCTGCAAAACCAGGAATTAATTTTTAAAAAGCAGATGAGCCTTTTTGTGGTGGTGGGTGATTAAAAAAAGGAGGGTGCTCTGTAGGGAAATTATGCCATTCACACTCTCCCATTTCATTTTTCCCAATTCATGTTTTTAAAGACATAATTCCCACCCCATGTGTCTCACGTGGCCTCTGACCAGCACATGCAACCCCCATTCATACAAACACAAAGCAATGGTGCATTCACACTTAGCGGAGACTGTACATTCATAAGAAAGGGCTCTGGGATGTTCTTCTGTTCGTGGTTGCTTGGCAGAAAAGGCACAACAGCCCACCAAAATACGCTGACATTTAAATGGAGGAACTTAATATGAAATCTGATAATTATATTGTATTATTAAAATATGCACTTATTAAAAATCTGTTTTTTTAAAAAGAACCAATTGCCCCTTTCACATAGTTAATAATGCAGCTATAGCTGATTTTAAAACCATACTTTTTAATAAATATTTATGAATTATATATGAGCATATCGAGTCCCTCATGGAAGCAAAGTGAGTGAGATATGCAGCTTCCAAAGTTTTTTTTTTGGGGGGGGGGAGGGCGGGGCAAGGGATGTTAGATTTTTGTTTTCAGAAGAAGCAGTTTACAATAATTTTGAAGTCTTCATTTCCACATTTCTTGCTTCTCCGCTCTCTCTGCCTGACTCACTCTCCTCTGGATGATAGAAGAATCTGGTTTCTCTTCCCCATTCAATCTTGGCTTCCCTGGGACTGTTAATGAGGGACTAATTGGGGCCATTGTGTACAGGGGCCTCCACAGAGGCCATTTTCGGGACATGAGATGTGGGGGGCCTCGGGTGGAGGAGGAGAGCCCCAAATGCCTTTTATCATATGAATTAAATGTATTACATCATATGAATTAAGTGTATTACATCATATGAATTAAACGTATTACATCATATGAATTAAACATATTACATTGTATGAATTAAAAGTAGGCCTTAATTTTTTTTCAATACACCCATTC